AAATGACTTTTTAAGTTCTTCAAAATTTAATGTTTTTCCCTCTTGAAAACGGTCAGGTAAATTTTTCTCATGTCTTATTTTATGTGTGTATACATACATAAATAAATGAGTAGTTGCACGCCTATTCTTTTTTCCATGAATCGATAAATCCCAAAAAGAAAGGGTGGTCCGGGGATTATCCCCTGGGAAAATTTTTATTCCTAGATGGCAGGAAATAAGCTTTCTCGACACTAGAAGTCTGTTTTAATGACGTTCTTCAAAATTCTAATTTTCTTACTGTAACATAAAAAAAAAAAAAAAAAAAAAAAATCAGCTCACGGGTCCTGAAATGTTAGGTCTAGGATTTTTTTTTCTTTATTTTGTTGGCCAAGGAAGGGGTGAGGACCCATTACCCCCTCCCCCAGATCCACCAATGTGAATCGCGAGAAAATTTAACTCGGTTGGGGACTGGATAAACGTTTTCTTTCCCATCCTTCGCCTCCTTCCCTCTTTCATTTCTTGTATTTCTTTGCAATCATACAAACATCTCCAGACATTACATATATTTTGCCAAAAAGTGGGGAGGTGAAAACACTGTGGGTGAAAGTTTTTTGCAAAAAAAAATAGGGGGAGGGGCGTACCCCTTACATCTAATCCCCATTCTAAAATTTAACAAAGGGCCCAGAAACCAATTAAGCCAATCAGCTGTTGAATATGTAGGTCTCAAGTCACTCACCCCAATGGCAATAAATCGTGCTTTATTTAGGCTAGCTAGGTTAGGGTAGGCCTAGCCTAGCCTAGATGAGACCCTAGCGCCCCGCCTAGGGCCTAGGCTAGCCTACCTACAGCATTGAAGATCACCAGTGTCTAATTATTGAATATAAAAGTTCTATTGAATTATAGTATATTGAATTAAACCACGGTTCTACCAGATTGAACGATCAAACTATCATCTGTTGAGAGAGATAACGTTACATGCCCTCCTGTAATGTTGGTGAATGTCTAGGGGATCATCTTAATAATTCAACACTCACTGCATGTGTAGAGCTGAAAACTAGCTACAGTGTACTTTTGGGCTGTGATACCTTCTGTGCAGGGATCGTCTAAAAAATTCCATGTTTTTTTTTAACTTAAAGAAAATGTTCTTGCTAATTTTTCACTAGACAACCGGGCAACATGAGTATAAATAGGCTAGCCCGGAGCGGGTTTTTTTTTGTGATATCCCCCTAAATCCGCCCCTGTTCTAATCATCTTAAACGACAAGGCGAGATTTCCGAAGAGTTACTTTCAGGTGGTTACATTATCAAAGCAATACATTAAGCTTGTGCTATATTTTTGCTCTAATTCCTAAAAGTCTGAGATTAGAAGGAAAGACTATTTTATTCTTTTTATTACATTTTTAAAATTGTTATTTGATTTTATTGTTATCATTTGATTATTGTTATTATCATTATTCTTCTTATTAGTTTCTTATTCTTGTTATGATTATTATTATCATCGTTATAGTTATTATTATTATTATTATTATTATTATTATTATTATTATTATTATTATTGTCCTTTATTGTGTATTATTGTAAAGCGCTAGTGACAAATTTCGTTTTAACCGGCGCAATAGAAATTTAAAAATCTATCTATCATCATATCTGTCTATCTATCTATCTATCTATCTATCTATCTATCTATCTATCTATCTATCTATCTATCTATCTATCTATCTATCTGTCTGTCTGTCTGTCTGTCTGTCTGTCTGTCTGTCTGTCTGTCTGTCTGTCTGTCTGTCTGTCTGTCTGTCTGTCTGTCTGTCTGTCTGTCTGTCTATCTATCTATCTAGACAACGGCCTCTAAAGAGTAACGCACCTTATGTATATATCAAATGGTAGGGGAGGTAGACTTAGAACTTGGGGTTAAAATAAACTTCCTCTAAACATTAAACACTCACCTTTACTTGAGAGTCTTGTCACTACTAAAGACGTGGCTTTTTTTAATAATCACTTTTTTTAACGGCACGGCACGGCAATATGAAATATTGATAATGACTACCGGAAAAACAGCGCTAGGCACAACAGTATAGGGCTAACTGAAACAGATTTTGAATTTAAGATAAGCAAACCGAAAGATAGGAGCAATTGAGAAGGTTACATACGCACAATTTATGCGACAGACATAGAAAGAGGGAATCCTGGTTACATGGTTAAATAATGAAACCGATCCTTCGCTTGACAGGCACTTTGTAACAAATTTGATCAAAGCTGAAGAATACAAAATCCAAAAAGTAAGTAAATGCCAATTTATGTATAGGCGGGTGATCAAAGCTATCCACACCATTGTGAGCAAGTGCCCACAATTTAGCACAAAAGAATATAAAAAGGCATCAGTGCATGGGAAAGAAAGGTCATTGTGACCTTTGTAAAGAGAAAGTGTCATTGTCAATCAAAAACAATATTTGTTCATAGGTATGTAAATTGTCTGTTCTACCTGCATATAATTCTCATTTAAGACGTGTCCTGGGTTGCATTTTGACGTACGGTACCAATTGTTTTTGGTAATAAAGAATATGGGAATTTTTAATATTAGCTTTAAAAAGTAGAAAGAAATTAATTCCCTGATTAATTGCATACGTATAACTAGACCTGTCTCTTATACACATCTAGATGTGTATAAGAGACAGTGTTTGCAGGAAATCCTGAGCTTTTTAAGTGAAAAAAGATGGAAAAACGACCGTTAAAAATAAAAATATATGTTTATTGAAAAAAAAAAAAGAATCAGAATTTCCTCAAAACTTATGAGGGAGGGAGTGATAAACTAATATTTTTTTATGGAGCCTTATAGGTCTATTCTTTTAAAAGTCATGCTTGCATATGAAACAGTCCAATCATGCAGATAGTGGAGTGCTACCCTAGGGCACGTTTGTAGAAAAAGTTCAACCAAACAGATATACACTGAGAGTGCTAAAGCCACGTTGGCAGACGACACAGTTCGATCATGGAAGTTGTGCTGAGAGTGCTACTATAGGTTACTCTCCTAAAAGTCACGTTTGTTGACGGCCGTCTTCAAACATGCAGGCAGTGCGGATATTCCTATAAGCCACGTTTGTAGACGACAAAGTTCAATCATGGAAGTAGTGCTATTAGAGAGTACAAACACGCGTGGCGTCAAAGAAACCTACTCTGAAAATTGAATAGGACTACCTTGGCACAAATCAAACAAACAGCTAGAAACAAATCCTAAGTTACAATGGCAAGGAATACACGTGTTGACCTATCACCTAAACTTTATTGAAAACATATTGACAAAAAATAAACATTAAACCCTACACTTATCAACTTCCTTATCAACTCGAATTTTATGTACCATTGAATAATGTCGAAACATGTTTTACGATTCAAATAATCAATGTATTCATGTCTACAGCATTGGCAATGATTACTGTATTACTGATATTAACAATTTCGCAGACAGAAAGACTGGTTAATTTCATTTCATTTATTTCTCTCAAAAATATTCAAAAAGGAAGAACAAACAGACGCAATGAGAAACAACAAGAGAGGAAAACCAAAAAAGCGAACTAAACCAACTATCGAGTGGTTCCCCTAGATATTAAAAATATCACAATTATCAACAATAAAGATAAAATATAGATCATTTGTCAAAAAAATTCAAATCATTAATAATGTAAAACTTTGTATTAAAATGTAGGAATTAAGTAAAGTTACATTGGAGTATCAATTAAGTAATGGTAAAATTGAAGATGAAACTAACATGTAAAATGAAGCTTGAATGAAGATCTGTGGAAATAATTTAAATCAAACAAAAGGTTGTTTCTGAGATAGTTGATAGTCAGCACATGAATTTATGAGTCAAGAAAATACTTAAAATAAGCAAAAAAAAAAAAGATGTACTACAGCAGAGAATTACAAAACACAAACAAGTTTGTGAATAGGCTATCAATTAGAGTAAAAAAATGCTTAAAAGGAGCAAAAATATAAGGAACGGTACCGTACTGCCGCAGAAAATAACAAAAGACAAACATGTTTGTGAGTAGGCTATCAATTAGAGTAAAAAATGCTTAAAACGAGCAAAAATTATGAGAAATGGTACGGTACTGTAGCAGTGAATAACAAAAGACAAACATGTTTGTGAATAGGCTATTAATCAGATGAAAAATACTTAAAATGGGCAAAGAAACAGTACTGCAGCAAGTTCGTGAGTAGAACTGTCATAATTCGCACTCAGGAAAAATGCTTTAAAAGTACAGCAGTAGGAAATTCTAAAATGAAACAGGTTTATCACAATAGGGGTCAAGAAAATGCTTGAAATGAGCAAAAACACAGGTACTTAAGCCAGTGGCGGCGGCGCCGGGTCAAGGGAAATGTTGGACAGACCTGTCGGCATATTTTTGGAGTCCACTGTGACGGTAGCAGGCAAGTACAAAAGACAAAAGTTTGAGTATATCATTAAATTTTATTATTATTATTTATTATCAGTGTTGTATATAGGCAGGAATTTCAAACATTATTAAAATCATTAAGGTCCCCTGGTGGTATAGCTTTAATCTCTAACCTCTAAAATTCATCGATTAAATATATGATTCTTTAAAATAATTAATCGTCGTTGGTTTGCCGGTAGTATCTGGGCCCACACGCCAACCAGTATCAAGCAAATTAAAACATGATATGAAACATAGTTGGTTGAAATATACATATTTATACTAGGCCTCCCACATCATATAAAATATACTTAGTAAGACGATCCATAGGCCTACAACTACACAGTAACTAGACAGCCGTGAATGCCTACAATATATTTAATGTTTAATACGGTTTCTCCATGGAGCACGTGGTCGGTATAAACCTACCTCGATACTCAAACACATAATATAAACTGTATATCACATTTCCTCGTGTTGGCTCTCGATTGCTAGTAGTTCAGTATTTATTATATTAAACATGTACTCGGCAAATATGTTCCAGGCTATTCTTCTTTCTTTTGAAAATTCTCCACCAAGAGACTCCTCAAACGCATCATCAATTAATGGACCAAGAGCCTAAAAGACATGATTAGGGAGCATTATATAGCAAGTTTTATATTCGAAAAAATAACATGCCTACAGTAAAAGCGTCGTGAACTTCTTCATGAATCAATATTCTTTATTATGGTTATATGCCCATCCAAGTGTAATTGCATAAATTATTTACCTGGAAGTCGGTTGTTTTAACCTTAAATCGATGGTGAGATGTAGCTAGACCGATTAAGAGCTGTTCGAACATTTCGGGCTCATTAATGTTCTCAATACACGTTGACAGCAATCCCATAAATCGTCCCGAATGTGCACGTAATTTTGGACTTTTTGCGAAGGTCTCATCGAAAGTTAATTTACGAAGAGAGGGAAACATTTGCCTCGTCTCTGGATATTTAATAAATAGCCTATAGAAAAAAATAGCACATGTATTTAATAATTATGGATTTATATATAAGGTACTCGAATTGAATACATATTTTACTTTATAAACTCATTTTCTCTCTGATATTTATATGAGAGTTTGGCCTACAGTGATCTTACATAATACAGTAGTTTCCCAGTAATAATAATGATAATAATAATAATAATAATGATAATGAAAATAATAATAATAATAATAATAATAATAATAATAATAAAATTAATAATAATTATAATAATAATAATGATAATAATAATAATCATTCATTCATTTCATAAAAAAAATAATAATAATTATAATAATAGCTACACTTATAGCACATAATGATAAGCAACGACAGGTATGTGACACAGTTTAGTATGTACATGCACTCAAATTATGATATGAAATAAAATGTTTGTAGACCTAAGAATTTAATTATATTAATATATTACAAGACTATTTAAAATTAGAAAAATTAATTTAGCATACTTTACAAATATTTGACATCCGATGTAAATTTTATTCTTATTAACTTCTGTCCACATTTGAACAACAGATTTTCTTTGACGTGATGTTAAACCAATTTTATCTTTTTCCAGGTCATCTGTATCAAATAAAGTAATAATGCATATATAATATAAATAATAATAAACACAATTAAATTAAAAAAAATCTTAAGCAAGCCAAAGCATACAAACCCAGCATCTAAAAGGTGAAAAGTGTGCCTATGAGAAAAATATTTCATCATTTGCAAGCCATCCATGGCCACCTAAAACAAGCAGATGAACGTTATTATGATTTTTGAATCATAATAACCATATTATGAGAAAAATGATCTTATAATAACTTATGAGAAAATAATAATAATAATAACTTATGAGAAAATGATCTCATAAGTGTAGATCAATATGCCTTCAGAAAATACCACTCCACCATCACTTGCCTTCATCGAGTTATAGATGAATGGATGGAAAATTTGAATGACCATGAAATGATTGGAGCCTGTTTTCTCGACATAACTAAATGCTTTGACTCCATTGATCATACTCTTCTCCTAACTAAATTAGAAAATTATGGCATTAAAGACACTGAAATCAAATGGTTTAAAAGTTATCTTTCACAGCGCAAACAAGTAGTCAAATGTCATAATAAATTATCTGAAAAAGCAAATGTTGAAATTGGCATCCCACAAGGTAGTGTGTTAGGACCGATCTTATTTTCATTATTTATTAATGACCTTCCACAATATGTATCTCCAGGATCATGTAGCATATATGCGGATGATGTTGTCATCTACACTACT